GAAAAAGGAGCTCCCTGCACTTCATCAGAACCCCTACTTCATAACAAATGGAGTGTCTCTCTGGCGGAGGAGTGCCATCAGAAACACGCGTTCTCTCTATCCATTTAATTCCGGCAGTGGAGGAAGGGTCAGGGAGGGAGCAGTGGGTGCGTGTTCTGCTCTCCGCTCGCCGCTTCGCCAGTCACACAGTAAACTACCTTTTAGGAATTGTTTCTCAATAAGAAATGATCAGTCCATTTATCTGCACCAGGCGGGCCTGTCTCCTCACCCAGACCTCCAATATTTTTCGTTTGACCTGATCAGGGCTATAAACTAGACCGAGACACTTTCAATTTGTCACCCGAGGAGGCCTCTGCAAGTCCCACGCTACTGATTGCATCCTCCCTCCCAAATGTAAAAATTCCTCCTGTGCTTGAAGGCTTCTTTTTTTCGCCCATGCATACAGCTGCTTGGAAATAAAGCCTCTGATGCTATAAAAAATATTCAGAGAGATAATCGCATACATATATCCCAGAACATGTTATTTCTTCTAATGAATATGGTCAGATAAAATAGGTGCTAGTAGTTTAACAGATTATTCTTCAAGATTTTGCACGTGATTGCAAAAATTCCTATCTCTCTGCACAAGTACACTAATTACCATCTTATGTTGCACTCTTTTTAAATGCACCAACTATAGAAGCGTTCCCTTTTTTAAATAGCCTTATTATCAAGGTAATGACAGCAATGAGCATCAACCTCTAAGCGGATTAAACTTTTTAACTGTGTAAGTATCATGAAATTGTTAATGTTTAAGAACATTTACTGAGAAAAATCTTAACAGACTCAAATAACAAACAAGAATGTATTTCCCAATTTTTGGTCAAGCCACACAGTAAATAGGTAAAATAGTAACATCATCACATTTCTAATCATAAACCTAATCTTAGTACACTGCGAACCCCTCTGACAAACAAAATCTTGCAAAAGCTGTAAAAAAGCACTCATTACCAATTAAGTGGGGAAATATTAACCACAATGTTTTCTTTCAAAACACGTCTAAACTTTGAACAGGGGGTAATTACAAGTCACACATGGCTTGCTTTCCCATCAAGCGCTTTAAAACAGTTAAACATTCTTTGAATTGGATGGAACATGTCAATGATTTTTTGACAGTGCTGAAATATGGCGAGGAACGCTCAACCACATACGCACAACCTGTTCAAAACTGCTGCCTCGTCCGAGTCACATGCATGCTATTAATCACTGATACCTCCGGCTGTCAGCTAACATGTATGTGGTTATACAACACTAATGGGCAACTGAGTGGAACTGAAAAACACGTGTAGTAATGTAGCCTTTCATCTCTTACTTGTTTTTGTCCTCCACGAAGATGTCAGGTTGAGAAATTCATCATTCCCGTCAGCTGACAGTGAGACAGAAACACCATAGCTTAATGCGCCGTACCACCGAAGATCCTTAAAACAAAGAGCACACCAAATGCATAAGATGCATCAGCAGTGCCTTTGTGACAATGCGACTGAGCAAACTATGTTATAGGTGCATTGCATTGCAGTGCATTTAGTGTTTTAAAAGACACTCAAATGACCACATAACCTGGCATCACTAGATAACAACAGAAATGGCTATGAAAGAGCACAGGTGGGTTAACAGAGGCAAGAAAAACAAATAAAAGCAATCTGAATTTTAAAAAATGAATAACAGGAGGTAATGGAAATTATACAGTTGCAGTAATTTATGGAAATATTTGGTCGAATGGTCAACTAAGGGCTAAAATTCTGGCCTTTCTTCCAGCTTCTAACAATGATTAATAAATCATATTGATCATATTAAATCCCTCTTATACTAGGGAATTTAACCTTACAATGTAAAGTGGCTTGAAATGACTGTTGTTGTGCACTGGCGTTATATAACTAAGGTAAAATTGATCCATTTATAGACTGAGAAAGTATTCGCTTTAAAAAGACATGTGCAGTGTAAATGCTGGCCATCTCTGTGGAGACTGAGACATCATATGCATTATTTGAAATTCTCATTTAAAATATTGTCTTATTGTGATTATCTACACCATGGAAAGATATGTGTCTGCACCAACCCCCCCTCTTTATTTAGGCTGGCTACTGGCTGCTACAGCAAGTATGTAAGCTTTCTTCCTTGCTTTCATTTCTACTGTAAACTCCAACTCTTTCTCAGCATGCTTCATTTTGTTATCAAACCACAACCACCTGCATTAACTAATAATAAATGTGCAGCACAGGTTAGCCTCAAGACTTTAAGCAAAAAATCAGGCTTTCAACCCCAACCGAACTCACAGAAAGGTAAAAAAGAAAAGAAACTTTTACTCCTCAGGCCTGTAATTTTGGGACTCTTGTTATTGTTTGTTTAATTAGGACTCCTTCATAAAGTTTGCCCTGGCACAAGCTACCGCCTGAAAGTTAACATTATCGTCTCATCTTAAATCCGTCAGTTAACATCAGCAGCATCAGACTAAAAGCATCACTTTATGTAAGCATTGCCATAAATCTAGCCAGCTACATTACTAGCTAACAGCTTAAAGGCAAAATAGTTCAATGAGCAATAAAGCGTCCATGCTGTACACAACATCTTAACTTTATACCTTGTCTGTGTTGGGGCACAGTCTGGGGAAGCACTCAGTAGATATTCAGTAGATAATTGATGCAGTGAGTTTGGTAGAAATGCACGTAAAGATGGCGCCTGCTGCTCAGCCTGCATGTCAGGTGTGTGCCGTACACTGAAGCACCTGTAAAACGCTCACCTGCCATTCAGCTAGCCTTTGTATGCGAGACCTGGCTACCTTAAACCCATATCCCTCTTGTTCCAAGTAGCTTTCAAAAGACATACAATTATTGGTGTTAGAAGTTTGTTCTTCAAATAATTCACATTATTTGAACCCCTGGACCTTTCCACCCTCACTAGGAACTCCAAAGAGTTTTGTTATTTTTGTTTGATTGGTTTGTTGTTTGTGTGTATTGTAAAATTTTGTATGCAACACATATATCAAAAAATAAGGTTGCGACATGCTGTTTGGATTGTTTTGTAGTATCTAGTAACATGTGGCCCAAAGAGCATTTGCTGCACACTCCTAGAAGTTGGAGGAAAGCTTAAAGAAAAAAAGAGCATTTAAAAAATAAATAAATAAACCAAACAGAAAAGTCTCAGTTAAACAAAACTTACATCTGTGCCAAATGCGCTTAAATATACTCATGCAGTGTCTACATTTCCGATTGTGTACACAGATTACTGCAGCTAGGGCCCAGGCGCTCATCAGACCGCACCTCCAAATGATCCACAAAGCAAGTTGTCACAGCAAAAGCAGCCGCTTACAGCACACGCACGTACCACAAGCGGAACAAATACACATACAGACACTGATAAATGCCTCTGCACTTACTGATGAGCTTCTGAATAATTGTGCCTCGGCGGCACTGTTTGCGGTGCAATGGTGACACCCCCCGGCGGACACATGTACTGCAAGAACACCAGTTAACCTTCTAAAGCCTGAAACATTAAATAATTTATAAAATTCAAATTTTCTGAAAATAGTATTTATTGAAACTTCTGTTGAAATTTAAAAGTCTATATAAAGACATTAATTTACATATATGCTACATCAGGCTATTTTGGGGGTAATTTATTCCTTATAAATTTAATGTGACATTTATTTTGGTTTTTCGGGAAGGGACAAAAAAAATAAAAAAACCCAATATGCTGATGATGTAAAAGTCTCAAAAAAAATTATATATCAAATATAATGCACTTGGCTTTAAAGAGTTAAGTGAGCACAGCAAATGACACTCAGCACTTTAGTGTATGACAGTAAGGCTTTATTTGATGATGGGAGGAAGAGATGGCAGGTGGCAGGTTGTATCTCAGAGGTAAGCTGTTACACGGGTCTACAGATTACTGCTTTGGCTGCATACATACTCAGTGTCTGCACAAAATGAGAGAGAACAAGTCACCTCAAATATTTTCATCTGCAACAAGTCTACGAGGTGATCTTAAATGTACAGGTCTACATCAGAGCACAACTTAGCATGCAGAGATACTTTTAATCGTAGTCATCTAATTTGAATTTGTTTGCCTACCTACTGTTTGGTGTTTTGTTTGCATCTACAGTTATAACCTAAAAAAAGAAGAAGAAAAAACAGGCATGTAGATGTAAAATTTGGTGGCAGGAGTAACTGTACTGGTTTGATGCCAGCAGAGTATAATATCAAAACCTTTATTATACAGCTCACTGAAGCTTTCAGGGCCAAACACCTCTGAAGGAAAACAAAAAGACAAACTCATGAATCCATACATGTGGAATGTAAAAACCCTTTTACTAAACAGCTGCTTAGACAATACTCATGGACACAAAAACAAACAAATGAACTTGTTAAAACCATGAAACCATAAGAAGAAGTCAGATGTTTGCTACAGTGTCTTTTGAGGCTTTGGATGCACTTTACCTCATCACAGGAACAAATGGCACTTCATTTGTTTTAGTTTCACAGCTTTTTGTTTACAATGTTTGGGTGTAATTTTCCCCCCCCTTACATCTACAATTACATTTCAAAATGAAATGCAAAACACACTGTCAAAATAAACTGGCACAAAGTGGTGACAAGGCCACTATGTCTGAGCTATACTGTAGTCGAGCGGTAAGAGTGTAAAACGAGGATCCAAAAGTAATGCTATCCCTTCACAGTATCATTATTGGAGGATCTCAGGTTGACTGAACAAAATCATGAGTTTTGGTATGCTGTAGATGTGTTGGAAATATATACCACTACATTCTGTATGAAGGAAAAGAAATTTATAAGACATCAAAATTAAATCTGAGGTTAATTAAACTAATTTAAACATAAAAGGCACCCAGTTTGTGGGGAAAGCAAAATAACTACAAACAAACAAAAACCATGCTCTTAAAGGACACGCCCTCACAGACCAGGGTCTATCTTCCATCGGCAACAGGAAACAAAATATAGCACTTTAATAAAAAAATGCAGCCTGGGACCAGGTGTGGACAGGCCTGTGGCACCGAAGCCCTTCCCTGGACCTGAGCCTGCTATGATTATATATATACACACACATATATATGAATGAACTACATGACCGTCCCAGAATGGACACTGGGTCAGGCACAGCCTAGACTCATTTCACATTCATTAGCATTTACTCTCATAGACTGAATATACACTACAGCACAGCCAAAACCGAGACACACTCAAATGGAGCAAGTTTAAATGTTTACATCAACATTTAAATTATACCGCTGAATCCCAGTGTAGCATGGCCACATAGTGTAGATGGGGTTGTGCAGGTGGACAATAAATATACATATATATATATTACATCTTTATATACAGTGAAATGGAGAAGGGGCACAGTGGTAAATTATTCTTCCTCTTTTATCGTGGTGAAGTGATGAGGAGATTTAGAGGACCCTGGATCTCTTGCTGGCCAGCGAGCCATGCTAAAAGACACAAAAAAATAATAATAATAATAATAATAAAACAAAATCAAAAAATACAGAAGCTGTGAGCTTGTTCACAGACTGTCTCCATACAACCCCAAATTCCAAATAAGTTGTTAAACTATGTAAAATGTAAATAAAAACAAAATGCAGTGATTTTCACATCTTTCTTCAAATCAGATGGAACGTAGAAATAAAAATAAAAAGTTTTTTTCTTAAAAAAAAAAAAAGGGTTGTTTTGAATGTCATAGCACCAACATGTCTGAGAAAAGTTAGAAAGAGCCCACATTTACCACTGCGTGGCATCCCCGCTGCTTTTAACAGTATGTAACCATCTATGAGCTGAGGAGACCAGCTGATGGACTTTGGATGGATTGTTGAGTAATATGATTGTCATAGGGGAGTCATATGATTGTAGGATCTATCTTACAATATAAACTGCCTGTTGTTGTGATTTGGCGCTGTACAAATAACATTGAATAGAACTGAATTGAATAGAAGTCACTTAGATGAGAGACTAACTGTTTCTCCCACTGAAAATGCTACGTCAAGATTAACAGTTGTGTTCTACAGAATCGTTTGTTCTATGGATGATGATGAATCAAATTATTTGCAATTTTATGTTGAAGACCATTATTCTGAAACTCTACAATCTGTAGGCGCAGTCCCAGTTCACTTAATTACTTGCAAAATATTCCACCAGCCATTTCTTTTCAATACCCCCTTACTTTTCCAGCTTTTTGTTACGCCATCCCAGTTTTTTGAGACACGTTACTGCCAACAAATTCAAAATGAGCCACTGTTTAAACATTTGATACTTCCTATGTTCTCTTGTGAATAAAATATGGGTTTGCGAGATTTGCGCATCATTTTTATTTACATTTTTACACAGCATCGCAACTCTTTTGGAACTGAGATTAAAAACAAAACACAACAATTATTGCACAATATATATTTGAGATTAATAACAAATAATAAGCTGGTCAGCTTTAATTGTTTGACATACCTTGGCTTGCTTGTAAAAGTGAGGGGCCAACTCAACCAGCCAAGACGACTCAACAGCAGTCACGTCACGCATGTAGTATTTTGATGTCTGCACCACTTCATTGAAGACAACCCTGAAAGAATGCAACACAGAAATGTTTACAGCATGTTTCTCTCAAACATGTCCAAATAAAAGATGCTTTTAGAAACAGTTAGGCATTTCAGTTCTCTGCAAAGCCTTAAGATCATTACTGACACTTCAGCAGCTCAAAGAATGAACACTGACCACTTTGGAGGTTTCTCTCCGTACAGCACAGAGTTTGGGTGGATGTGAAGCTCACGATCGTCTCGTAAAGTCCTGGCAAAGGAAAAAGAATGACGGAGTGCACCAAGTGGTTTTTGTAAAAAACAAAACATGAAAACTGTTAAAACCCCTCAGGTGGGAAAACTGAGACATCTAATAAAGTGACAGACGTTTGTCCTTACCGGTAGGAACCAGAATGGTGAATGCGAGCTGCATTAGCAAAAAATCCAGAGACAATGCACTTCAAGATCACATCTGGATCACCTGTGCGAGACACACATCAAGAAGATTACGGTGAAACAGCTTAAAAACAGGAGACTTCGTGCCTAACAAGTCAGAATGTGTCTTGGACTGAATGTGTGTACTCGGCTGGTACAAGCCCAGAAAGAAAACGCATACCTTCACTGGATGTTCGCGGCACTTTAAACTTGTTCATGAGGCGCCGGAGCTGCTCTCGTACAGTCACAGCTCGCAGCAGACCCTTGTAGTTGAGAAAATGCTCCTGACACCACTGGGAGCTCTTCTGGTGCTGCCGGAAAGAAGTAAAAACACAAGGTCAGAGTTGACTTTACTCCAGGCTTTGGCAAAGTTCGTGGTCACAGTCTGAGGAATGTGCATACGTGCGCTCACAACTATACCTTAATGAATGCTTCATACACATTCAGCATGGTGAGGTGGTCTCCTTCTGCGACTGCAAACTTCCTGTGCTCGCGGGCCTGCAGGCAGAGATAACAAAAATAAATAAATAAATAGGATAATTATTTTGCTGACTTAGCATTTCTGCTAAAAATACAACATGCTCCGTCTGAGGGCCGGTTTCCACTTACAGCAGCTTTCTTCTGATTGGGTGGCACGACAAATATATTCTGAATCTGCATCATTGCTGCTATGGTAACAATCTCTTTGGAGCACCCAAAGTTTCCCGACTCTAGGAGCATCTTAGCAAACATGGGGCTGAGGGGAAACTCTGCCATCCGCACACCCATGGGATCAGTCAAACGGCCGTAATGATCCAAACCTGCCAAGAGACACAAAATTAGCGACGAGTCTGCATTTTGCACGAGGACATTTTACCTCGAAGAAGCTTGTGAGTGCAGGATTTTGAAAGCTAGTCCTATAGTTGAAGGACAAACTTTGCTTTTCCACTATTTCACATAATTTTTAAGGACCTTGTTTCTTACCTCCCAGAGCGTAGAGAAGCTCCAGTGCCTGAACCATAGTCTGAGCTGGAGGAGGCTAATAAATCATAATAAAAATAAAGGCAATTTTAAGCACAATATTTACTCTAAACGACACAATGGAGTGGTAATTAGCACTCTTAGGAGGCCATGACATCTTTAAAAACACAAACTGCATTCATTTTATAGTTGCTATGCACATTTCTCTTTCTAATAAAAATATAAACTACGATTCCTTTCACAGTGGCTGAACACATCACAGCTACTCTGTGGATTCAAAGCGAGCCACTCACAGAGAGAAAGCTGAACCGCAGCACGTTGTCAATGCCCAACGCTTTGAGCTGCAGGATGACAGGGGCCAAATTGGAGCGCTGCATCTCTGGCACAGTGGAAGCCGGCAGTTTCTCAAAGTCCTCCTCTGACAAAGGAACAGCAGCGATAAAGTGGACAGGGAGACATGCAGACAAGAAAAGACAGGGAAAGGGAGTTATAATGAACAAAAATGTAAATAAAAATATGTTCATTGCGTGTATCATATGGCTGGAGGTTCACACATACCCGTGTACAGTCGAAAGCATTTCCCAGGTCGGTTGCGTCCAGCTCTCCCCGCCCTCTGACTGGCTGAAGCCTTGGAGATGGGCGTGACCACCAGCGATTCAATGGCAGTGCAAGGATTATAGGCTCGCAGCTTCACAAACGCACAGTCAATAACAAATACAATTCCATTTATAGTGATGGAGGTCTCAGCTATATTAGTGGCCACCACAACCTGGAAGAAAAATTAAATGATATTGTGTTAATAAAGGTTTATTTGCTTGTGCTGGCTCATACGTCACCAGTCTGTACCATTTCTATCATTACAAGAAATTCATCATAACAGTAAAAGATTGTTAATATATGCCAAAAATGGCAGTTATTTCATCCATTAACTAAAAATGTTGATATGATTATCCAGCCTGACTTGCATCTTGGATTGTCCATATAAACACACAAAAACAAGATTTTTACCTTGCGAACAGAAGAGGGCACCCGCTCAAAGACCTTCATCTGATCGGCGTAAGGAAGACCAGAATACATGGGCAAAATTCTCAGGTGCTTCTTCATGCCGTACCGTGACAGAGTCCTGGCCTGATCCTGCAGCAGGGACACCACCTTCTCCACCTCCTCCTAAGGTGAAAAAGAAAACAATCGAAACCATTAAGAAACCTGGTATATGGGATGATTTGGTTTCTACTGTTTTCACACTGATGTCGAATAAAAGCTAGGTCAGTAAATGATATGGCTGCTAACCTGCCCAGTGAGAAAAGCCAGGACATCTCCATCATCCTCAGTCTCGTGAATCTTGAGCACAGTCTCCACCGTAGCTTTCACATAATCTGGGACAGGACTGAAAGCAAACCAAACATACCTCAGGAAAAACAACAACAACAACAAAAAGGAATATGCAAAAATAACAGACTATTTGCTCAGTTTGGATTCTGTGTGTTGCCTACCTGACGGTGTAGAAGATATCCACCGGGTAAGAGCGTCCCTCTACTGTCAGAATTCCACAGGTGTCTTTGCTCGGATCGCCGGACTCATTCAGGTTGAAGAAGTCGTGGAATTTCTTCACATAATATTCGTATTTCAATTAATAAAATGGACATTAATACAGCATTTAACCACTAGTTGATTTGTCTCACGTTTGAATGGAGGCATTATAATTGCATTAACATTAAAGAAGCCAACTACACTGCTTCCACAGCTGGCAGGCTTGGCAAAGATTTAACACATTAAACATTTAAAACTGAATTTAATGTGTGATTCACTTTAACCAAACCAAAGAAACAGTTGGTGCCCTCACTCTGACATTTGAGAAAGTTCACAACTTCCAGCGCCGTTTAGCTGAAAAACATGGCACGTGTAGATAAAAGCCTTTTTAAACTGAACGTACAGAACACATCTGATATGACATTTCAGCTGACTCGGGTAATGCTTAGCACAATCGTGGCCTGATTGTGTCTTTCTATCATCAGGGTATCGCAGATGTCAGTACAACGTGATCTGACCTGACATCAGCTTTCCCTCTGTCGGTCTTTTGTTTATCTTTTCTGTCTAATCAAGCAAATCTGCTCATCTTAATGATTCAGTCACCTTGGCATCAAGAGTGGCAGAGGCCACAATCAGCCTCAGGTCTCGTCGCTTCTTCTGAATCTGCCGAAAAATCGGAGAGAAACGGATGAAAGTCAGAGGAATGAGCCACAACTTTCTCTCCTACTTAAACAGCTGTAAATTAATGAGTGACATTAACGTAAAATTTAGATTCGTTTCAGCGGGCATTACCTTCTTTAGCAGACCAATCGCTATGTCTGTATAGAGGGTCCTCTCATGCGCCTCGTCTAGCATCAACACACTTTGGGTGAGGGTACAATGAAGAACATTAGTTGCAAAAAAGTAAACATTAATTAATACTTTATAACAAAAACAACTTTACATGTAAGAGTTAGGATTTTTAGCAGATATCTCAGTGTGAAGATCACAGGCCAGCATCATGACAACTCTGTGTCCTGGTTTTGTACATGCGGCCTCCCTAGTAACGTATTTGCCATGCAGAGAAAAGGGACTGCTTAATGGCTCTATTGCAATCATGTACCTGTACTTTTTCAGAAGTGGATCAGACATCATCTCTCGCACCAGCATGCCATCTGTTAGAAACTGAAGCACACAGGTGCAGTTAAGCACTGAAGGACATTTACAGAGAGATTCAATGAAATTTCTGCCCATGGGTTACAAAGATCCAGTGATCACAGCCACACACTTTCCTGAAAACAAGGTTTCTTATCTTTAGATTATGAGATATTTTCCCCCAAATAATGACATATTAGTGTTAGGACTTCCCCCCAAATATCAGTATTGCTGAGGCTGATCCCCAATTAGCCTCTTAAAATATTGAGAAACATTCACAATTCACATCCGATGATAAGTCTGAGTTGTTTTTCTCAAATACGACCTCTAAAACATTTTTTCCCCCCCACACAAACAGAACTGGGCTTTCCTACAACCACACATGTAAAACGCTTATCGCTGAGGCCACAAACACAACTGACAAGCAAATACCTTGATCCTCGTAGCGTGGGGATCAGAACAGTCATCGAATCTAATAGTGTAGCCCACCTCATGGCCCAGCAGGGCCCCTCTCTCCTCTGCCACACGGTTAGCTACCTATCAGCAGGAAACAAAGAGGGGCGAAAATACAGAGTTTAAGGAATGTGTGTGACCTTCGGTGTGAGCTGAACTGCTGTGAAGGGAATGACATTGGCAAACAGCGAAGGAGCCGCGCAATAAGAGGAGATCAGTGGGGTTCTTACAGAGATAGCAGCCACACGTCGAGGCTGTGTCACTCCAATCACCTTCCCCTCCGCTGCCCAGCCAGCCTCCAGCAGGTACTGATGAAAATCACATGAAAAAAGAGAAGGTAGATCCAAAAAAGGAGGGAAGTACAAAGCATGAAAAGTGGACTGTGCATAAATTACATTCTAGCTGATGTGGTCCAAACACTTGCTTTCAAAAGAGGCTCCAAAAAGCACCAAAAAACAAGGTCATGTTAAACCGCTGTGGGAGTTAATCCACATGAAAAGGTGTGAGTCACTGCAGCATGACTTTGAAGGTACCCCACCACCCCCCCTTTTTTTTTCCTGACTGCTATCATAAATGCAAGAAAACGGTTTTTTGTCATTCATCTTTTATGCCATAAATGTTGCATGGAGTAAATCACACTAACCTGAGGTATCTGTGTCGTCTTCCCACATCCAGTCTCACCAACTATGATTACAGTCTGGAAGCTCTCAACCAAGTACAAGATGTTGTTTCTGTGCTGGAGGGGCAGCAGTAACGAGAAGCACTTAATGAACAATTAAACAACAAGCACAGGGGATCACAAAATAACCCTGTAACATTAGAGCAGGTGCAAAAGCGGTTTAAAAACCTTAAAAACGGGGAGTTTCTGTCGCTGCTTCTCTATGGAGAGTGCGGTGTGGGGGTTGAAGATGATGGGGGAGCCGGTGGTCTCTGAGTTCAGCTCCCGCTCCTCTGAGATCCCCGGTGCCTCAGAGCCTGAAGCAGAGCAGATGGTGAAGGAGGAGAAGATAAGATATTTTATTTAAACGCAGGCAGGCTGAGGAAAAAGGGACTTAGGAGGATTTGATTTGGTGCAATGAACATGTCATGGCAGAGCGATAAAAGAAAGGTTTCGGCGCACACAAACTCCATCATGTGTGTTATTGTACCCTGCTCCACGGTGCGTGTGTCTGTTTTCCTCTGGAAGGTTATAGTTTGATTCCGCGCAGTTAAACCGAGCTGATCTGCGCCGGCTGCAGAAATCACGCAGCTGCCGTGAACGCCGCTGCAGCCGCACCGAGACTCGCTGGTCGACGTTAGCAGCTCACGCTAACAAATACAAACCCAAACAAACCACCAACAAGCTAATCTATCCTCTTTTATTCCTACTTACCCGGCTTCCAAAATTTCATCGTGGAGAGGGGAGCCGCCATCTTGGCTTCTACGTCACATATCCCCCCCTTTGCATAGCCGGGGGATGACGTCACAAGCTCTGTTTCCTTCGTTTTTATGAACGATGTCAGCTCGTTCAAAAACAGGTGCAAGGGGAAGTTTACGCTGACTTTTCAAGCTGTTAATTACATACGTCATAAATACTACATTTCAATATATACGCACACTGGACATTTTATTAGGTACATCTCGGTAGCACCAATTTGGAGCCCTTTTGGCTTCTGACCCGCCTTCATGGCACGGGTTCAACAAGATGAACCCCCTAAACGGGAAGGGTTGTTTAAAAACTTTGTGCTTTTTATGCTGATGCCACCATTGTTAACTTGGAAATCTAGTGTCACTTTGTGTCATTGTGAAGTCATATAATATTGTATTGAGATATTGTTTTAAAAGCTCAAACAAAGAAAGTGCTCATGTAAAGTTCGGAGATGATCCAATAGAAACTAAAGTTTTTTCCTAGCCATATGATTGGAGCAGAACTGATGATGCAGACAGCATGTTAACACAGAATTCATGCAGCGTGTGATTTTGTGAAACTTTATGGTATCATTGTGACATCGTAGGGCGTGTGATATAAAGCTCAGTTGTTCAGTTTACTTTTTGAAATTTTTTAGCTTTAGTTTAGTTTTTATTAGTTTCAGTGTTAGTTCTAGTCTTTTTATTTATTAATGTATGTCCGGGGTGGGGAACTCAAGGCCTCAAGGGCATATTTGCACCGCACAAGACACTAAATAATGTGAATTGCACAACACTGGTCATTATATTCTTCATTTCCAGTTAATACTTGTACAGCTGCTGTTATTGTGTATATATATATTTATATTTCTTCATACATTCTTATATAGTTCTATACTGTGTACTGTGTATTTTGTTGTGCAGTTATTTTATTTTTTAACTTTAATTTATATATTTTATCTTATTCCTTCCTAGTTAAATTTACCCTTTTTAATTTTCATATTTATTTCCTATCTTATTCATAGCCTTTTCTTTTTAGGTCACGAGCAGTTGTCTAAGAAATTCACTGCATATCGTACTGTGTATGACTGTGTACATGACAAATAAAATTTGAATTTGAAATCAACACTGTGGCATAGCAACATTTGCACTGTCTGGGAATGATCAAGGAAAAGCTGCTGGTGACCTTTTACCACTCCACAATAGACCGTGTGTTAACATGGTGCCTCACAGTGTGAGATGCTGACTGCTCAGTAGCTCTACAGAAGGTCACCCCCAGACCGGCCCAAAAATTAATAAATCAAAAAAAAAAAAAAAATCACTGGCGGCCTCTTTAACATTAAACACACGCTACCGTTACACAGAGCCCAAACATTGTAAAAGACTGCTCCCACCCTGCCTACCTGCTGTTCGACCTCCTGCAGACACCGCAGGTAAATAAAAATTTGTGGCCATTACCTCTCGCAACTATACATACAAAACAGTCACAGTAAACACTCACAAATATTCTTCCAATGACAGTTTCAGTTTTCATTCAATCACTTTTTAAATTTAGATTCAATAAACAAGAGACCACCTCTTTGAAAATGGAGGCCAAATAAAGCCCATGTTTAATGATTCCCAAAATTTTGATCAGAAAATACAAACCTTTCAAACACCAGCTGCATATCTAATATAACAGTACCATTGTATTAACTTTGCATGAACTGCTTTTTTTTTTTTTTGAAGTTCTTCATGATAAAATACTGAAAAATGTTTAATCAAACAAGGCATAAATACAAATAAATCTGCATAATACAAGCTGGATTTAAGAAAGGGGACAATGCAGACATTTTACAGACAAGTTTAAATTAATTTCAACACAAGAACTAAGACTTTCTCATACGTAGCTTCCAGATCAAAGACATTAAATTAAAATAATTCTAACAGATCAGGTTTGACTTAAATCTGTTAATTGCATATGACCACAACATGCAAGTTTCCTCACTTTTTCCACTGAGGAACATGTATGGAGAGATAAATTTGATAGTTATCTGTTCCTGCAGCACATTGACACTAGTGACACTGAGATAGGATATTAGCCAATACACGCTCTTACAACCAGCATTTATTTCAATATTAAAAGTTAGACTCCAGCTACAATTTTCACATTCGTTAAATTTGACAGCAGATCTTTAGAAATACTAAGAAATTGAAGGTTTATATCCACTTGAGGGGGGGGGGGTGGAGTTCTATTTCACAAGAAAACATAACTCCAGCCTTCAAAATACAGACATACATATACTGTAGCTGGTAACCATAACAGTAAGCTGTAATATGCTGTACTTTAAGGCAGCTAAGATCTTAAAAAAAAAAAAGAAAGAGACAAATATACATAAGGTAGATTGGGGGATTAACAGTGAAGCCACAGATTGAATCTTTTACTAGTACTTCTGTTCATCCAGTATGGTGGATTTTTGTCCCTGAAATAAAAGGAGACATTTAACATTCAACCGTGGACTGATTGAACCCTCTCGACTAAATGATGACACGCTGTTTTTACTGTCCTGCACCTGTCACCTGACTGGCCAGCCTGTGAGCAATAACCCGCGAGAACAGTGGCCATGCTCGCTATTCGTTTCCGCTTCACCCCGAAATCGATGTTCATGTCGCTCATCAAGCTACTGTTTATAAAAATTTATACCGATTCAACCAAATGGTTTCCTGTGCCTTTAGTGTTTTAACAGACAAGTGTTGAAGGAAATGAATGAATCAAATATGCCTTCAATAGAAACTAAAAAAAAAAAAAAAAAAAAGACAGCATTTGAACATTTTCATTGCGGTGTTCTTCCTGGATCTTCCAAAGACAATTCCCATGATGCACTGCACACTGAGAAGCCATACTTTATGTAGTAGCACTGATAATCCCATACCACTGAGTTCTTGTATCTTGACAATTTACTTTAGCAGAAATGTTCAATGTTTTTAGTGTCTTACAGATTCCTCCTCAGTCAAAATGTAGAGCTGTGTAAAAGATTATCCACACCACCTGATCAAGAGAGAGAGAAAAAGATGTGATTACACTGACAATCAAAGCGTGGGCCTCAGACCTGACAAATTTCAAACTGAGCTGAAGAAAACCATCAGATAGCCTTAAAAACACTGATGTAATACAGAACTTTTGGTACCTTCACACTGTATCATATTCATCTCTCACAAGAACATGTATTTATGTTGTAAGGTAGACCCTACAATAATACATACAGAGAAAAACCCAGCAATCACATGACCCCCTATGAGCAAGCACTTTGGCAACAAACCAAAATTTTCTGGTAATGGTTCTCAGCACATATTCTCTCTTTTTTTCCAAAACAAACTTCCTGCTGGGCTGTGAAGCTTAATACACAGAATTAAAACATAACCATCACAAATTTGGATTGAATTTTAACAGAAACTTGCTATTTGTAAACATGTTTGGATTTACTGCATATCTGGGGGAATATCACAATGAAGTTGGATGAGAATCTTTGTTTCCATATTGAAACTATTATATTTGTGATGCAGTCACCTGATTTGGACCATTTGAAAGAATGTCATGTGCTTAGCATATGAGAAACTATAAATAGCACATCATTGCCCTGCCTGCAAAACTGTGGTTTCTACACACACGTATGAATCTGCTGTCAGATGTCGGACAGGCAAATATTTTAGAGAATTCAAACAACCATCAACATCAAGCTACACTCCTGAGTGTCTGTACTCAGAGCCACAGTGCCAGATATTTAATCTAAAAAGGACCTAGTTCAATGAGGTGGTATTTTTTCTTTGTTTGTTTGGGGGTTTTGCTCTTCAAAAACAGAAAAAACATCTACAAAACCACCTTAACTACATCTCACAATGCATTTAGAGAAAAAAAAAACAAAAAAAACCCCATTCCTATTAAGGAGCACATATTTCCCTGGATTTTCTTCCTTGGCATTTGGAAGGTTTTTGTTTGTTTGTTTTTATTTGATCAACTAACATGTCAGAGAGTAGGGTGAAAATTAATATCAAATACTATAAGAAGAAAACAATTAAAAAGCTTTAGACAAAGAGCTGAAATTTGATGGATCACCAAAATCTGTAAATGAAATAAAAACTCAGGGGAGGGGGGGGGAAAAAAAGGGGGAGGAAAAAAAGAGAATATGGAGGTTTAAGGTGACGGTGTTTTTGGTAGTAGCAGTTTAACATCTGGTCCTCATCTAAAAATCAACCAACTGTAAACTTTTAAAGTTTCACTGCATTTCACTCAGAGGTTTCCTTTCTCCTGGGCAGTCTAGAATTGAAAAAGTACTTCTGTGTGTTCATCTGTGTTTGAGAAGCAATAAACTAAAAAGAATTTAACATAATTATGTGTAGTAGCAAAAATCCACCCTACAGGCCTGTGGAAAAAGCCTGTCGCCTTCCTCGTGTATAAAAACACACATGTTCATTTATAATGTTTTAAATTAGAATAAATATAACAAAATATTATTTTTATTAGGGCTGCTCGATTATGGCAAAAATGATAATCACGATTATTTTCACTGAAATTGAGATCACGATTATTTGACGATATTTATTTAACCCTTTAAGACCTACTATAGAACCAAGTCCACCAGAGCTTATATTATTTTTTTTTTTTACATGCTGTAGTGCCATTTGTGGGAGCATTTCAAGTTGCTATACATCAATACAACTGTTATAGCCCATATTTTAATAATATGTATGCATTAAGTCCATAGTAATTACATAAATTGCAAAAAAGTGCAATAAACTACAAAAAATTGAAAATCGTTTTTGTTTTGTTTACATATATTTCTACTTGGAGAAATTTAAGAGGTTTATCCCTCAAAACTTTAAATACAATAAAGTTGCAAAAAATAGTTTCCCACCACAGGAAATTTATTTTGAGTGTCTTCATAGTTTTATTTTGGAGATACAGCAATTTTTATATACTGCAGGAAAAACAAAAAACAATCCTATGATGCAAATTTGCAAAGAAAACAGCATGTGCCTCATTTCACTGTGGGAAGTGTTACGAACAGCTGATAGGAACGGCAAAACGTGTTTCTGGAATATTATGTTTTTGTTCCTGCAAGCGCTTTTTATGCAATTTTTGCAAAGCTATATGTGGAACGAAACTGTGACCGAGGACAAGCTGATGGCATCAGATGTAAGTACAACTCCTCCGGTTTCATATGCAAAACAAATTATTGCGCTAGCTTACACGGTTCAGGTTCTACAGGGATTTAACAATAGTTACGCAAAACGGAGCGTGCTGCTCTGACCGGCTTTAAAGGGTTAACAATGACTTTAAAAAAATAATATAAAATAGTGTGCAACACCACTGAAGTTTTTTTTTTTTTAAACTCTCTTTTCAACCAACGGCAGTCACTCTCCAAATAACTTCTGCTTAGCTTTCCGAGCTTCCCTCGGGTCCTCTTAATCAGCGGTCCCCAACCTTTTTTGCGCCACGGACCGGTTTATGCCCGACAATATTTTCACGGACCGGCCTTTAAGGTGTCGCGGATAAATGAGGGAGGGGCTAATAATCGGCTCAGTCATTTTTAATGATCGTTGAAAGCCCAGATCGTAATCGTGATTAAAATTCGATTAATTGAGCAGCCCTAATTTTTATTATATTTATCATATCACTGTTTATAGCAAGATGACAAAGAACATCAAACTATTCACTAATGAATACATATTTATTGCTCGTCTTTGCAAGCTACATATTAATCATATAAGATAAAGTCATTAACTGCAGGCACTGTTAGTGTAATTGCTTGATGAACACTTATTTACAATAATGCATTTCAACAAATTCCAGCGACACCAAAGTGCCACTGCACTAAAGATTTAATCTTTCATCCTATTTGTAACAGTTTTGCATTTTAGTGTCACGTTCATTGGGAATGGAAGAAACACAAAAAAAATTTTAAAGATCAATAAAAACGGCACGAAAAGCCCAGACAGTGGATGCTTTTCATTGCTTTTAACACTCCGTTTCACTTCAGCTCTTTGTATGTTTGAATTTCATGAATTTCTGTGGCTGGCTGACGGATCAACAGCAGCACATACTTTGTACACTGCCTCCACTGACACAGCTCTCTAGAGGTAAATGGGCCATCCTTGAACTGCTAACATACTACAAATGTGCTACCCTTGCTTAACCCAATGTGACATTTAACATGAATTTACATGCATGTACACCAGGAACCAAAATAGCCTATTTTGAAAGTCTAAGAAGTTTTGTTATACTTCAACAGTTTATACATTTTGAAAGACATTACTAAACCCACCAGAAACAGGGCAAAAGATGTCATGAAGCCTTCTTTGGTGAGTTCCCACGTGCCCCCATACTCTTCCTCATCGATCTGCTGAAAGCTGCTGAAGTATACATACAGGACGCCAGCATTGATAATGCAGAATCTAAAAAGCGCACACAAACACACAAAGATGTTAGCTTTTCAGTGTTTCCTTTGGTACAACAGGATATGTAAAGGGTCAGTGAAAGATGTAAGGTTTAGACAAGCTGTACACAATACTTACATGGCTATTCCCAGAAACCCTTTTAGTGGTGCTACACCCCACATCACACCAAGGACAATTGCAATAATTTGTCGGAGCCAATAAATCACATCTAAGAACTCGTCCTGTGGAATAAAACAAACATTTTATTTAACAGGTCCTAAAACAGCAAAACAGCCCAAGACCATCACACCACCACCACCACCATGTTTGACTGTTGGTATGATGTTTATAAGAAATGCCCTGTCAGTTTTATGCCAGTTGTAACAGATTTTGTGGGGAAAAAGAAAAACAAAAAAATCAACTTTTGTCTAATCAGTTCAGAGAATATTTTCCCACAAGTCATGAAGATCATCACGATGCTTTTTGGCAGATGTGAGACAAGCCTTTGTGTTCTTTTTAATCAGCAGCTCTCCAATAGATGCAATTTTTGACCAGTCTTTTGTTGCGGAATCATGAACATTGTGCTTAACTGAGGCAAGCGAGGCCAGAAGCTCTTTAGATGTTGTTCTGGGTTCTTTTGTGTCCACCTGGATGAGTCGACAAAGCACTCTTGGAATAGTTGTGTCCGGCACTCCTGGGAAAGCTCACCACTGGGCCACCACAGGTTCTCTCCATTTGTGGATAACGGCACTCACTGTGGTCCACTGGCATCCCGAAGCCTTATAAATGGCTTTGTAAACCTTTCCAGACTGTCAAGACTGACTGTCAGACTGTAGCCGGGGGGGGATTATTTTTTCCACTTTAATAAATGAACTCATCTTTTAAAACCTGCATTTTGTATTTACTCGGGTTACCTTTGTCTATACAGCACTGTATGTTGACACACTCAGCTACATGTTCTGCATCCAGTACTGAGTATACCACTAAAATGAATACATTTTAGTGGTATAAATAAATTCTCTTATAGGGGCATGTCAGTGATATTATCGACCAACCAATATATCAGTCAGACTTTGAAAGGCTTACAATATTTATTAGGCAATGAAATTCGTTATGAACAACCACAAACAAGAGCAATATCTGAAAGTAGGGCTAAATCACCAAGACGATTAACTCTACTCCCTTTAGATCTGACAGCTAGCCCAGATTAATCCTTCGCAGCCATACCTCCATGACTGCCACATTACACGCTTTCACAACTTTGAGGCGACTAACAACAAGAGCACTAACATAACAAAAAAGGACAAACTGACTGACCTTCTCTTCCCAAACAGCGTTACTGTTGAAGGCTTTGCTCCATGTGGACTGCTTTACACCTCCATTCACTAGATGACTTTCTTCTTTCCGCTTTGAAATGCTCGTCATTCTTTGCGCTTTCTTTCAGCGACACACGTGGAAAAGTTACACTCCAAGCTCGGTGACACCTACAGGTAGATTTCACTATTCTTCTCCGCCCGGAGGCAGAAAGTGCTGGGAAATATTTGAAGGTATTAAGAAAATCTACGCTTCGCTGAGCTGACAGGTTTCAGAAGCTAACCGTAAAAGGGAGTCTGAGCATGCGTAATATCGTTTGAACCCAGCCAGCGACAGCCAATCAGAGAGTGCGACGTTTCTGCGCCGCTATTCCTCAGAATCGCTATAAATTCCACAGCGACCTCTGATGGTGAAACTCAGAAACTGACACATATATTGGCATCTATTATATTTAGTCAGCTTCTCCATTTCTATTACAGTTAAATCTGCCATCTATATTGATAAGCTATCCAGAACTGTATATGTAATTATCTTATTATTACCTTTTGTTTATCCAAGTAAAAGTCTCACTGATTAGACGTTGGAGCACAAGAAGTATTAACTAACTTAAGCTATTATTCTGGGCTGATTCTTTCAACCATTTATTTATTATCTCCTTTGGTTTTTGAGATCTGGTTTTAGTGACTTGGTTTAGTCATTTTTATTTTCAAAGTAAATCAGAAAAGAAATCTAAATGGTAAATGGCCTGTATTTGTATAGCACTTTACTTAGTCCCTAAGGACCCCAAAGCGCTTTACACTACATTCAGTCATTCACACACTGGTGATGGCAAGCTCCATTGTAGCCATTGTAGGCGAGGCTGCTGGACACTGGCACCACCGGGCCCTCTGACCACCACCAGTAGGCAACAGGTGAAGTGTCGGAGCTGGGCGACCAGCAACCTTCCGATTACAAGATGAACTGCCAACTCTTGAGTCACGATCACCCCAGAGAGATTATAGTCCTCGTCTGACCTGGGAAAGCCTTGGAAGCCACCAGGAGGAATGGAAAATTGTAGCTGGAATACCCTGTGTAGGATACTTCAGATACGCAGAAGAAAATGGGTGGATGGATCTTTGAAACTGCAGAAGTACCCCCAGAGTACAAATACGCCTCCTTGAAAATCACTGTTGTAATGTTGACAAAAAGTCAAAAAATTCAGAGTATATAAATTACTGGCATGCAGCTATGAAGACCAAAAAGGTGTATTTTTATGTAAGCTGCATAAAAAAGGTTCCATGGTTATTTTCTTTAATCCTATGATTATTCAGAGATCTCCACATCAGAGACTTCCACAAATAGCACATGTTAGCTCATGGAGCGGCACCTAATGACTAATCAACTGATCTGTTGATCTCAATAAGCCAACCTTTCATTTGGTCTGTGAGACCGCTGCTTTTTCTTGTTTGCTGAAGAACTGTGGCAGCTCTGAAGTATATTGCAAAACTAAGGGATAGTAATAAGGACAGTGTTCTGCATGTCTTGTGGTGAGAAAACATCAAAAGCGCTTCAGTGGATGTGAGCATGTATAAAAACAGAGAAAGGTGTTTCCCTGCATGCTGTGTCAGGACTTCTCCAAGGTATCAAAATAATTACAAGAGGGGGTTTTTGGCCTTTTTTTTTCATGTGAAATCCTGGATTTTTTTCTTCTCTAGCACCAGCTTGTTATATAAATAATACATCATAAAAAATGGTCATTAAATAAAAAGTTTGGGATCTATAGTTATATATAGCCTATGCAGAGATTTCCTAAAATAGCATTTACCACAAGCAAGCTGCAAGATTTATATGTTTTGATTAAAAAATGAAATCACAGAAATAATGTGTGACTTAACGAGCTTGCAAAGAAAAGCGTCTGGACTTCTTTAGTTCTCCTGTGCATAAAGAAGTCCAGACGCTTTTCTTTGCAAGCTCCTTTGACTACGATGACCTGGATGACTGAGAACCTTCACAGACGTGTGACTTAACTGTAATAACTGATGTAATATGAGTTTTTTAGCTGACAAATTGATGAATGGATGCTTGCTTACTTCTCTCACTGGCTGCTCTGACAGTCATAGAGGTACTTCTCTATACTGTCCAGCAGAGGGCTTCATTTGTTTTGATTGAGCTTCACCCCATTGAGTTCAAGTCATATCTCATAGCAACCCCAACGTATACCATGATAACTACAGTAATCGTGATTGTTTAACCTAAACTGACTTATTCGATTAATAAATTAATCAGTGTAAAATAGTTTATTCCTCTTCTTGTTCTTTTGGCTGCTCCTTTTGCCTGCATTTCACCCTATCTCTACCGTCCTTAGGCAACACCCACACATCTTTGTGGTCTTACTCTTTTCTTCGAGCCTGGAACTCCACATCCTGCATCCTATATCCACTCTTTCTAATCAGGAAATGTCCAAGCCTTCTCCAACTTTGTCTCCGAACAGCTCAACCTGAGCTGTCCCTCTGACATATTCATCATGTCCAACCCCATTCCCTTCTCACCCCCACCTCCATCTCTTCTTCCTGCCTTGTTGTCAGTGCCACTATCTTCAAACCTACACCAAAGCAGGTCTCACTAACATACTATAAACCTTCTCTTTCACTCTTGCTGCAAACCTTCTGTCACAAATCACCCCTAGTCTTGTCTCCACCCACTCCACCCTGCCTGCACTCTCTTCTTCACCTCTCCTGTGCACTGTGTATTAGTTTGGGTGGTTGTATTTAAACTCCTTCACTTTCACTACCTCTGATCCTTGCATCATTACTGTTACACCCACCTTTATCTCATTAGCACAAGTATTCTATCTTGTTTGAATTTCATTCCTCTTTTTTCCAGAGCATACCTCCACCTCTCCAGGCTCTCCTCCACCTGCTCCTTACTCTCGCTACAGATCACAATGTTGTCTGTGAACATTATAGCAGTGTCTCACTGTCCCCATACGTGTGCTGCACCATCCTCACGTATTTCTCAGCCAGTTCTGACTCCCTCATTCAGTACCACAGCCCCTCTCTCAGCACCCTATCTTATGTTTTGTCTACATCCACAAAAGTGGTGCAGCTCCTTCTGACTTTCTCTGTACTTCCCCATCAGCACTCTCAAAGCAAGCATTGTACCTGTGGAGCTCTTTCTCAGAATGAAACCATACTGCTGCTCACTGATCACCTTCTTAACCTAGCTTCAGCAACTCTTTACCATTTCTTCATGTTGTGGCTCATCAGCTCTGTAGTTACTACAGCTCTGCACATCACCCTTATTCTTGAAAATCTGTCTCATCACACGTCTTCTCATGCACTCCGGCATCCTCTCACACTCCAAGATTGTGTTAAACAATGTGGTCAACAAGTGCACTGCCCTCTCTCCTAAACATCTCCTCTATACGTATGTCAGCTGAACAACTAATGTAGTCACTACAAATAAAGCAGTTTGGCAAAATAATTGATTAATGTGTCTGACTAGTGACTCCAATATATTATTAATGGGTCTCTAATGTTAGCTACAGTTTATTTGTTGCACTATTGAAAACCATTAAGAGAATTTCACTTTGACTCTTTTAAGTTGACCCACTGAGCAGTGACTCATTCAGAAAGATGTGGGGGATGTGACATCGTGTTTAATTTGAAGCTTACTGAACATACATATAACAAACAGGGCCCAATGGAAAATCAGTAACACTAGAATACTATATGATGTGTTTTATCTGCTTTATCAGCTACAAATGAGTTTACACGAATGTCTTTAAAGTGATGCTCCCATGCAGCTGCTTTTTGCCGACTGGCTTTGCACTGTGGTCCATTTTGTGAGCATTTCTGACTTTGCTGGGTTTTGGTTGTCTTTCTACTTTAGTCAGTTTAGGGATTTGTGATGCGAGTTCACCAACGTGCATGGAAAGCTCTCAGGTTTAACAAAATACCCGTTACAATGCAACAGGCAGCAAAACTAAATTCTTTTAAAGTTGCCTCAAGTGCTGGGCCAGCTGAGGATGTGGTTTATGTTGCAGTTGAATTGTAACACCAATGTAGAGGATATGCTGGTCTCTGTCCTTTTATATAACAAATGTTTTCAATCCCTTGCACCAACCTCCAAACCTATGGGAACAGAGCCTTCAGTATGCTTTGCAGCACCTCATCACTTCACCAAAGCCTTTAATTTCTAGCCTTTCTGTTAATTTATATACTTTTGTTTATTTGGACTCTTTTTTTTAAAGCTATAAAGAGTTATTATTATTAAACTTTATTGTTAAAGTCAAAGCTGGTGGCAAAGTCAAAGTCATTATTATTATAGTCATTGTTGTGAACAAAGGAAGACTATACAGCAGCCTGACGAAAAGAAATTAGCTTTTACCTCACCTGTACTTAATAAACTGTCATTTGAGTGGTCACCCGGCAAATTTAAATATTTGTCCACTCAGCTTCAAAGCTCGCCACTCTCACAGCACAGATAACTGCCCGCTCAGTGAAATCCATAAATTGCAGGCTATGTAAACTGAGATTTGCGTAATTACAGCTAAAAGGTCACGTGGACTAAAACACATCTAACTGTAGTGGGTGTTTAATATGTTTGAATGGAGCTTTAAGAGCAGATTCATATTTATTGTGCGTCTTTATTAACCTTTTGCCACGCACCCGTTTGGCTCTATCTCTTTAAGAGCGGCTAGCCCACCTGGGAGGGGAGAGGAGAGGGGGGGGGGGGGGGGGACAGGTGTGATGTGTTGTAACCGTTACCGTGCACGGTTAACGGTGCTGTGACCCTTTCAAAACCTCAAACACGGACCCCCCACCTGTGTAGATAGGATGGGATGGGGTGGGGTGGGGTGATGGTGTTGCTGGGTGAGGAAGGGGGCGTAGGGGGTCAAAGTCAGTACGGGATACGTGAGTCACTTCATACTCTGTGCTCGGCGGAGCTCGAGCTCTCACGCCAATTCCACCGTCAGTGACGTCGGCATCACGTGTCTGCCTCTTCCCTCGGTACGTCCGTCGTATTTTCCTCCCCTTTCACTGCCTGCTGTAACACAGAGCCACTCGAAATAAACAAGCGCAAAAAAATAAGAGAGGGGCCGTTGTTGTTGTGAGAGGGAGGGGGGACCGGTCCGGCTCCAGTCACGTTTATTATTATCAGCGGCCGATTGTCAGAGGGGTCCTTACACCTATAAGTTACCATCAGAGAAGCCCAAAGCCGACCCCGTCCGTGTCTGGCTCCACTGAACCCGCACCAGTGTAAACTTTTTAATACCTGCGATGCATACGCTGAGCTCCGACGAAGCGAGGTGAGTGTGCTTCACTGATACGCATTTACTTAAGTGTTCACCTTTCCTAAAC